TCAACATATCTGTTATATTCTTATCAGTATGGACTTTTTTCAATAACATCTGCTGTTCTTCAATCACTGAACGTAACCAATGATATCTAACATCAATGTGCTTTATTCTAGCATGGTACATAGTATTCTTACTCAAATCTAAAGCACTTTGGTTATCACAAAATACCACATACTCTTTCTGATTCAACCCCAATTCAAGAAGAAAACGTTTCATCCAAAGCATTTCTTTACATGCTTCGGTTACTGTAATATACTCAACCTCTGTAGTTGACAAAGTAACACACTTCTGTAACTTAGATTGCCAAGATACAACTCCTTCTGCAAAAGTGAATAAATACCCTGAAGTAGATTTCTTACCATCAAGATCATCTGCCATGTCAGCATCAGTAAACCCTTCTAGAACTGGTTGTGAAACTTCATAAGTCAAGCATATTTTTGAGGTACCCCTCAAATATCTAAAAATCTATTTCATTACTTCCCAGTGAACCTTTCCTGGATTAGAAAGAAATCTACTCACTACACCAACTGCATGAGCAATGTCAGGCCTTGTACAAATCATAAGATACATTAAAGAATGGACTACAGAAGAATAAGGAATACTTGACATAGCTAGTTACTCTTCCTTAGACACTTGACAAGATTTCTTACTTAGATGAAAATGGTTGGCAAGTGAACTGCTAACTGATTTAGCATATTACATGTTGAATCTACCAAGCACTCGTTTAACATACTTTTCCTGTGACAACCATAGCTTTCCAGCTCTTCTATCCCGGATAATATCCATACCAAGAATCTGCTTTGCTGGACCTAAATCCTTCATATCAAAGGACTTAGACAATTGTTCTTTCAACCTGTAAACCATACTAGCATCTTGTCTTACAATCAACATATCATCAACATATAATAATAGGATAATGAAGTTACCATTAGGAAATTGTTTAACATACACACAAGAATCTGCTGCTGTTCTTTTATAGCTATGACTCACCATAAAAGAATCAAACTTCTTGTACCACTGTCGCGGAGCTTGTTTCAAGCCATACAAGCTTTTCTTCAATTTGTAAACTAAGTGCTCTTTCTCTTTCACTTCAAAACCATCAGGCTGATTCATATAAATGTCTTCTTACAAATCACCATGCAAAAATATAGTTTTAACATGAAGTTGTTCAAGTTCAAGATTCAAACTAGCTGTCAATCCCAGTACCACTCGAATAGAACTCATTTTTACAACTGGAGCAAAAATCTCATCAAAATCGATGCCTGATTTCTGAGAAAAACCTTTTACTACCAATCGAGCTTTGTACCTCATTAGTTTGTCACCATCTTTTTTCAACTTGAACACCCATTTATTCTTTAATGACCTCTTCCCTGTTGAAAGTTTAACAAGATCATAAGTACCATTCTTTCGCAATGACTCCATCTCTTTTTTCATTGCTTTTAACCAGTGCTCTCTATCCAAAGTAGCCTGCACATCTTGGAAGCTTTCTGGCTCCCTTCACTGGTAACTAAAATAAAATTTAAACTTGGATACCTAGTAGATGGCATGCACTCTCTAGTAGATCTCCTGGGCTGAGACTCTACATCACTTGATGTCGAAGGTAGCTCCCCCTGCTCAACACTCTCAAGTAGAAAAGATTGCTTCCCCTGCTCAAAACTAATAACATCTGGCTCATCACCAACTGTAGCTGCCTCATTCATATCTCCAAGTTCTGTTTCTTGCTCATTTTCACAATTTGTGGCTTTTTCTTGTGAAATTTTTATCGGTGTTGAAACATCACACTCAACAGTAACCTGTGTAGTTTTTTCATTTTTCTCAAAGTTTGTTATGATTTTTTTTCATGAAAGACCACATCCCTGCTTCTGACTGTCTTTCTCTTTACTGGATCTCATACCCTGTAGTCAAATTTCTCATCATCATATCCTACAAACACACATTGTGTAGCTTTACTGTCAAGCTTTGATCTTTGCTCTTTTGATACATGCATGAATACTTTACACCCAAAAACTTTCAAGTGAGAGTATGAAGTATCTTTTTCTGTCCACACTCTTTCTGAAATGTCAAAGCCCAAAGAAACTGATGGTGATCTGTTAAGTAAATAACAAGCTGTGTTGATTGCTTCACCCTATAATGGCTTTTGTAATTTTGCCATCCTCAACATACATCTGACTTTTTTCACAATGGTGCGATTCATTCTTTCAGCTATACCATTATGCTGCGGTGTTCCAAGTTTTGTCTTTTTATGCCTGATCCCATGCTTTGAGCAATACTCTTCAAAGTCTTTAGATGTGTATTCCCCACCATTATCAGTTCGAATATACTTCAAGGGTAACCCTGTCATCCTTTAAACCATGACATGAAATTTTTTAAAATACTGTAGTACCTGACTTTTGTATTTCAATATATACACCCAAGTCTTACGTATTTAATAAAAGTAACAAAATATCTGCTACCACCTAATGACTCAACCTCAATGAGACCACATACGTCAGAATAAATTAATTTCAATCTATTTTCTTTTCTTTGAGAACTTTACGAAAAGAAACTCTATGATGCTTACCAAACAAACAATAATCACATGAATCGAGAGACATACCTTTGGTCAAGGGAATGAAAGAGTGCCTTGCCAAAACCTGTAACCCTTTTTCACTCATGTGTGCTAGCCTCTTGTGCCACAAGTTTACTGAAGCATCATTTTCAATGGTATTTACCTGGTTACCGTTCAATTGCATCCATGTCTTATACATTGTGTAGCATAGTTTTTTCCTTGCAATTATCATAGATCCTTTGAGAAGCTTTCATTATCCATTCTTTTGTCGACTTTCATATCCCTCCTTATCAAAGACATTAATAGCAAGCAAGTTTATTCTCATATCTGGAATGTGTCTGACATCCCTCAAAGTTAACATGTAGCATGTACTAATTTGTACAATAATATCACCAATCCCAACAATTTGCGACATACTCTTGTTTTTCATCTTGGTACAACCAAAGTCTCCTGCTTTGTAAGTTGTAAACAACTCTTTCTTAGGAACACAATGATATGCCGCTCCTGTGTCAACTATCCACTCAATGCCGGGATCACTAACATAATTACAATCACCATGTGTACAAATCAAAGTAACTGAATCACTATCTGAATTCATTACTGCAACATTGCCATCATTTGAACTCTTACCTTTCTCATCTTTTCGCTCTTGCTTTAAGATTCTATAGTTTCATTTTATATGACCCTCCTTACCATAATGAAAACACTTCACTTTACCTCTAGACTTGGATCTATGTTTAGACTTACCACGATCTTTTGAGTCCTGATCTCTGTCAATGTTTCTACCTCTGTTCTCTATGACTAGAGCTTGATTCCCAGGGTCTATATCTTTTCGCGTTGCTTCTTCATTAAGCATAATGTTCTTTACCATCTCCAATGTCACCTTATAATTAATAGTTGAATTAAGAACAGTCACAACTAGAGTATTTCAACTGTCTGGCAATGAACCCAAAAAAAATAACGCCTTCATTTCATCATCCATCTTAAGCTCCATAGTAGTCATCCGATTAAATATATTTTGAAAATCACTCAAGTGCTCTGTAACAAATCGTCCATCCATGTACTGTAAAGTTGTAATCTTTTTAACAAGCATAACTTTATTCATACCTATTTTTCTCTCATACAATACTGTCAATTTTTCTCAAACAATGTGAGCATCTGACTCCTACGCTACATGATGGAACACGCTGATATCAACCCATTTTTTTATTGTAGCCAGCGTCTTTCTACCTAGCTTTTTCCAGCTTTCATCTTTCATATCTGCTAATTTAGTCGAATCACCTAATACTGGCTCATACAAATCTTTGCAGTATAGATGATCCTCCATCATAGGCTTCCAAATTGAATAATTCGATGCTGTCAATTTTATCGTGGAACCTGTATCACCCTTCATGATCTCAAACATAATTTACTTTTATCCTGGGTTGCTTCTGTATCGATGTCTCAAAATAACCCTCGCTCTGATACCACTTGTTGCGCATGAAGCAATAATCACAATAATACAGAAGTAATAGACAACAATCAATAATCAAATACGCAGGAAAAATAAAGCACACCAAGATTTACGTGGAAAACCCTCCAGTGTAGAGGGAAAAAATCACGGGCCACCAGAAAAATCTTCACTATCAAATAATAGTTATACAAAGTTCTTTTTTAGCTAAAACTAGAGCTAATAAACAATTAGAGAAACAATTGGAGAAATCTCACCAAATAAGTGACTCACCAAATAAGTGACTCAACAAATACACCCTGGATTTGTTCCTAAAGAGCTTCAAACCCGATCTTCACCGTTCAAAATGTAGAACTCTGAATCATAAACCTCCTGACAAGGTTCTAACTCAATTAGACCACGAATCGACTTCTGTTTAATCAACTCTCCCTTCTCTTTTTTCTCTCTCTGCTTTTCCTGGCTTTTCTTCTTTCTCTGCTTGATTTTCGACACACACAAAAAACAATCTCACCTCTTTTTTATTAAGTAGCTAGGGCTCTGTGTAAAATAAAAGATCAAAGCCCATAGCCTTTACTTCGTCCAAAATCACTTACATGAGACTGGATCCCATTTTTCTAACACGAATAATATTATATTTTAATTATATCAATACAAATAAAATATAAAATGTAATTATATTAAATTTATATATAATTTTTTAATATTATTTTTATATTATATTATTATGTTTAAAATTATCAATTCTAATAAAAAATAGGCTCTTAAATCTTAATTCTAATGCTTGTTGTCCTAAATCCTAATCAATCGTGGGCAAAAAGTATTTGAAGAAAGGATCTGAATGCCGAACTAAAAGCAAATGGGAATCTAACATGTGTTGGTGCGGGCCGCACAGAATAGCCACCACGCATTAATTAAGGGCCTCTCATATAACATGTGGAGGAGCTCCCTTCCCCAACAGAAATTTGAAAACTGGCAACTCACCTCAACTACAGAATCTAAAGGAAACTAAAATGAAAGCAGCTTCCGAGCTCTCAGTCTTTCTCCACAAAACCATCAAATAAATTTGGTCATGGCTTTGTTTTTCATGGCTACATCTCTTAACCCGAAACCCATTCCTCCTCCATTCCTTAACCCAAAGCACAAGCACCCCTTCAAGCTCATCTCTTTTAAGTCTTCTTGTAAAACGTTTGCTCAGTCAGAAGGACAAGGAGGGGGAGTCAAAGAGGAAGAACCCCCTGCTTCTTTCTCTGGTATGTTACATCTTTCGTTTCATTAGCTTAGTTTAGTTTGTTTTAACTGCATTAATTCTTTTGTTTCTTCTTTCCTGGGGTTTGATTTTGCATTTATACTCGAGAAGGTTATGTACTATATGTATGCTTATGAAAGTGTAAACATATAAAATTTTTTTCTGAACCCGAACTTAGCTTAATTGGTTCATGCAGGCACGAGATAGACCCCGCAGTTCTAGGTTCAATTTCCCACACATGCAACCCTTTCCTTGTTGTAGACGGCGGGACTCTTTGTACAAAAAAAAAAAAAAAAAACATATAAAATTTTGTCTAGCCTTTGGTTTATTCGAACTTAACATGGGATTGAGAAACCATGATTTGTTATGATGAGTTAATGTTAACTTCTGCTATATTGAAGTTTGGATTTTAGAATTTAGAATTCTATCCAAGGTGGTCTTTCTTGCATAAGAATATGAAGGTTCCGTTCCATATTTTTCCCAAACTGAAAAGTGAACACCCTTTTCTCCCTTATCAAAGCAGACTTGATTCCCTGTTTGTTTAAATAACTGCATGGTTTTGTGCAAAGTTATGGATTAATCTATTAGCTCCTAAACAGATCATGAATCACTATGGGTAATGTCTCTGTTGTAGCTAAGTAGGATTCTGTTGTAGCTAAGTAGGATATCTTATAATTGGGATCTTTGGCATTGCCTCTTTGTTTTTGTGGTTGGGATGTTTTCCTATAATTGAGATTCTGAGATGTGGGAAATCATATTAGAGTTTGATAGTTTCTTTTATATAGTATTGTGGAAATTAATTTATGGTTGACCACTGGTTTTTAACATTTTGAAAGATTCTTTGAGTTTTTATTCCCATTTTGCTACATTTTTAGAGTGAATTTCTTTTAAAGCAAATGGTAATGCTGCCAAATTGATGGCAAACCGATGTCTAGAAAGTTCTGTTGCAAGTTCTTGACAGATTCTTCGAGAGCAGTGTTGCTATTTTACATGGAGATTGATGTTTATAATATGCAGAATGTCTTGATTCATCTCTAGGTTCTCATATTGTGGTAGAGAAGCTCAATTGATGGATAGTTTCTTCTTTTTTGTGCTTGAATTCCTATATAGAAGATAGATGATCATATTGGATATAAAGGTAGCACCATGAATAGCTTTCTGTTGCTCTCCATTCCTCAAACTTTCTGGCTTTGTGTCATAGCACCACCAGCCCAAAAACAAAAAGGATTTTTTCTTGTTCAACATATGACCTTGAATCTTGAGTGTTTTGCTACCTTGAAATGATTATAAGCTACATTGAAATTCTTATCATATTGTTTAATTATTAAGATGCTGGTGAAACTTTTAGGCATCTATGGAGATTCAATAATCATTTAGACTGCTGATTTTCTCTATACTCTTGACATTTTTCATAAGGATCTTTGTCTTCTACACGCACACAACTGGATCTCTTGGAACAACTAAGTTCTACTAGCTCTGCTGTTGATGGTATGCGAATCTTATCCCTAGATAAATGCAAATGTATTATGCATTTCTTTCTCAGAAAAATGACTAGATGGAAGAACAGTACAATTTGTAAAATTAAGTGAATATTTGTTTCTTTTAGGACCAGGTATGAGAGTGATGGTAGCTCCGGCAAACTCACAATTCGTGAGCAGCTTGTGCGATTGGTTGGGGATAGAGACGATGATTTCACCATTCCGTTGGGTAAGAATTTGAAGAAGGTTAGTCCAAAAATTTTAACAATCTCACAGAAGAGAAATATCAAGAGACAGGCATACTTGGATGAAGTTTCGCAGAGGAATGATTCAGTTTTCTTTGCAACTATAGGAGGCATTTGTACTTGTTCCACCTTTTATAATATTAGGGATTGCTATATTAACAGGTTATGTGCAACTTTTTCCATGATATACATATTCTCAAAGTAAATAGAAATATCTGGGTTACACCAAGCTGAAGTTATGTTGAGCTAGTTAGTGCCTTTTCTTTTTTTTTTTTTGGTCCAACCAATCTGTTAATTATTCTGCAAAAGTTAATTTTCTATGCAAGTTCATTTGATGACAGGGAATTAAATTTCCACAAGATTGTTTTAAAATTAATCCTTGCATAGAAGGATAGTTGCTGAAATTTCTAGAATATGTGACCTCTTTATTCCTCATGAATAAGAGGCGTATTCTTTTTTTTTTTTTTTGGTACAAAGGAGACCGCAGCTTGGGAATAGGATAAGGGGTTGCAGGTGCTGGGATTGAATACCAGACTTGCTGTATGTACCTCTTAAGGATGGCTACATGAACCAACTAAGCTAAGCTCTGGGTTAAGGAGAGGCATATTCTGTATTATCTGTATACTGCCTTTTTCCCGAAATAACAGAAATGAGATCTCCTTGTCAGTTCAGTTGTTAAGAGCTTTTTAGTATATGCACGGTCATTCCTGTGTGGATGAGGATGACATGAATTGAGCATCTAATTGGACTCATTTTGACCACCCCCTTCCTTCTCCTCTATTCCTTGGTGGGAAGGAAGGTGGAGTGAGGAGTGAGGAGTAAGGAGGGGAATGATTTAAGCATCCGAGAAGAAATATACAGGTATAGAATTTACCATGGAAGTATGCTGTTTGCCACCTAGGCTCAGCTCATTTGACTGGGGGACTAGAGCTGATGAAGAGCTTATACCTTAGGGAAGTATGTCATCTACAATCATTGTATTATAATTAACCAATCACAATTCAAAATTATGTGCGGTCCATCAAAATTTTATATGGAGCCTACATTTATAAGTGGTGGACCCCTTCATAATTTTTTATTATGATTGGACAATTGTAGGATTGTAGTAAAAAGAATTGTAAATGAAATGCACCATAGGTTAGAGCTTTATTTATGCAATTCCTAGAAAGCATGAGCTCAATGCTTTTAGTAATTATGTGTCTATACTCTTTAGACATGCATTATCTGTAAGAAACAGAGAACACATGGATTTTATTCAACTGAACTAAGAAAGGAAATAGTTGTTTTCTGATGAATGGGAGAGGGATTAAGGGAACAAGAAATGTAAATAACAAGGTTGAGATGGCAGTGTAAAGAGTTAATATGAGGAACTCTGTTTATTGGCCACAATGTTATTGTGCTAATACAATTCAAACCTGAGGTTCATTTATTGCAGACATTTACACGACTTTGTGGCACTTCAAAAAATACTACTAAAGGAGGTGTACCAAGTTCAAATCTCCCCTCCCCAACTTGACTAATATTAAAGTATCAATAGGAAAAACAGGATCTTGGATGTCATTCCAAATCTGATAAAAGATTCCTACTAGACAAGTCATTTGATTTTGTCATATTTCCTTTAGCAGGCTAGATGTTGTTATATTATAAAATTTGTAGCCAAGGAAATGAGGTGGGTGGTTATTTGTTAAGCACCAGCAGCAAACATTGACCTAAAAACATAAGAGTATTATATTTCTCGTGACCATACCATAGTCCAAAAGTTTCCTATAAAATATAGATTTTTTTTCTTAAGTTTTTCAAATCAATTGAAATCATTGGAGATGAAAATTTTGAAAGCCTTATAAGAAAACTTTTAGACTTGGTGATAACAGACACCTAGAAAAGCTTGACTTATGGGGTATGGATGATCCCATTTCCCATAGATTTCCATATGGTTTTGAAACTGCAGGCATCTTTTGTTTTGTTCAACATTTGAAATCATGTTTTCTAACACCGGTAAAACCTTGATCCAACAATTTCACCTTTGGTTGGATAAATGTAAGTGCGGTTTTGCTTCATCAGGGATTACATCTGCTGTTACTGCTTTCAGATGCTCTACCATTTTTATCTAAATCCATAGTTGTGCTTGAGTTAGCTGATTGCATGCCTATGTTGCCTGCAATTTCCATTTTTTAAAACCCTACTTGCAAAATGTCTTGTTATTGGAAGGATAAAACTTGTACATGTTTTCAGAACTTTTTTGTTTCAAGAAATTCTAAATGCCTTCTCTCAGGAAAAAAAGTTCTTTAATTTTTTATCATTTGGAGTTGAGTAATGCCTCTAAACTTCTGAGTTTCTCTCCCGGGCCTTTTCTAGGAGACTAAATGCTGAAAATTCCAAATTTTGTTTCAATTTGTCTCATGAATAAAAATTCATAATATGCTTTTTTTTTTAAGTAATATATATATATATATATATATATATATATATTACAAAAGAAGGTGTAAATTGGGGATAAGGAAAAAAATTGCAAATCTTGAAATTTGAATCACAGAACAACTGAATGCTACCTCTTAGGATGACTGCATTAATTAAGTGAACTGAGGTTCGGGTTCAAAGAGTAATTGGCTTTGTTTTCTAATTAAACTGGGACATGTCAAAGAGTGAAAATTTGACCATCATGTCCAATGAAACTATAGTCAGGGTATATCAAAATCGAACCCTCCCTACCAATATAGCTGTAGGACTTCATCATGGTTAGATCATATTGGAAATCTAGCTTAATTTTACCTAGTGCTAATTTCCTGTCATAGATTAAGAGAAAATTAAAAGGAGGAAACTGCAGGGAAAAGAAAGGGCTGGGGGAAGCAAAAAGGAAGAGAAAGAAGGAACATCAAAACACCCTCAATTAAGGCCAACCAATAGAAGTTTTTGTGCACAAGGCTTGTGTGGTCTAAAGACCAATCCTTCTAAAGAAGAAAATCCAAAAAACAAAAGGATGAAAAGAATAACTCAATTGTTAGTAATTAAGTCACGGATAACATGGTTTTCAACAATTCCACTTGTTGATTCCTTTTGCTTCTCTCTGGGGAAATATCCTGTTCTGTAGGTCTTATTGGTTCTTGTCCCAAAATCACTCCTTGCTTTGTATGTACAACCATTTGTCTTGGAACAGGTAAATGAAAACAATCAAAGAGATCTCAGCTGTCAAAACTATGGTCCAAAGCTTTATGCTTCTTGATGTCTTTTCATGATATGCTCCCAATCCAGTGTAAATGTTGATTACACCTAAAATAGACACTGCAGTTCCTAGTAACCAGTGTGCAAAAAACCATGCACTCCTTCCCTTGGATCCCCTGTAGAGAAAGTATTGTGCTCAAAATATGCTATAATATTCTTAAAATCTCATTCCCCTTAATCCTCAGCACTCAGATCAAAAGAATGCTGATGACAACAGAATTTTTAGGGGTTAATGTTACGAATAGTTCCTGAATTGTAGTGAAATTTCAATGTGGTACTTATTCCTGATGCGATTAGCTGTAAATGATAATACATGACGAAGAAATAGCCTTTCAAGTATCAAATTATTTAATAGATTCATAGTTAATGTATCACATTAAAAATTTTTAAAATTTAACTATCATATTGAGTATTTCACTATAATTCATAGATCATTCCTGACATTATCTCATTTTTATACTCTAGATTCCGAAATGCTGCAGGAAGCTGCTCAGAGGAGGAAAACCCCAGTTATATAATCAGAAGTTGTCGGAAAAGACATTGACTAGCTAATTATTTGGCTTAAAATTTTCAATTATGCCTCAATGAAACTTTGAGGAAAGGGTATTCATAGCATTATAACTAATCAAGGATGAATCATGAAATGGAAGAAAAAGGAGATGATGATAAAAATGTCGAAAAAAGTCAAGAAACTGAACCACTATTCCTCAGATAAGTTTCATTCTGGGGTTGGAAATGGCTTGATCCATTGGAACCAGTCAGAAATGTATGCTTTACTGAACAAAGAAATGAATCAGGGAGATAGAGGGATCTGATGGTCTACCTCCATGGACGTAAAACCCCGGTCAAGGCTTGCAACCATATGATACCATATAAAGCTACCCCTAGTCTTTGATGATGATTGTTGAAGGAGTTATTGAAGTTTTTGATAGACATGACTGCTCCAGCTGAAGCAAGAAGTACAGAAAGTATCTGCTGAACAAAATTAACCGTTCAGTACATGAAAATCACTTGGAAATCATGTCCTAATGAATGTCAGAATTAATTATTGTCCTGATAGAAGAACTATTAGTTTAATGTGCCTTCACTTAAGTCTTAAGATTTCTTGTACTTGTACTTCTGATCTGTCATTATTTCAATGAACACCCACACAATCATCATTACAACAGCATCGATTAAAGATCTATGGATTGCTAATCGACTTTTATTTATAAAATCATTTGCAAAAGAATCGGAGGTGTCAGAATTTAAACTTTAGATTTATTGAATATTATTTGGATAACTATATGAATCACTAAGTTAAGCTCACGATTAAAATTATTGACCTTTTCTTGCCTCTCAAGCATTCATGATAGTCTCCCTGTCAAGTTGAAGGCAATTAAAAATTTATTGGTTTTAGTTAACCAAGAAACAGTGGGCTATGCGGGAAACATCTTACTTTAGTTTCTCTTTCATTATTATTAACAAAGCCAAAGGGTGGGTGTGAACTTTCGTTGAAAATTGTCTAATGCTTTGATGCTATCATTTTGCAACTCTGTAGAGATACCATGACTCAAGTGAAAGAAACAGAAATTATAACCTATTTATGTAGGATGTGAAAGATGCATTGATATAACCGTGACAGTAAAGATGAACTTGCCTGTGAAA